GTGCTGCGGCTGCGGGCAGGGGCGGCTCAGTGGTGGGCGCCTCTGATGGCCTTCCGAAATGAGAGGCGCCCAGAGAGAACACAGTACCAAACAATCTTGAAATAAACCAGGTAACACATGCTCTCTACGTGTGTCTCTTCCTTTCCTTTCTCTCTGGCTCCAAGACCTTCGCTCTCGCGCGCTGTGGCTCGGAGTGGTTTTCTCCTCGCGGCTGCAGATTCTCCTCAGCTTCTAATGAGAATTGGAAGCGAGTCGTTGCGAACGATCACCTTGGAAGTATTTTCATTTTGCTTGTTGACATTGGAGGGAAAATAAGAGTGGGCGTCTATTTCTTTCCTTTAAAAAAAAACTGCCTATATTCCCTCTTCATTCCTTCCATTTCTCAAACGCTTTATTTTGTAAGGACCTCAATCTAAAATATCAGTACGCTGAGGTAAGCCCTTGCCCACCCTGCATTCGTGGTTGGAGAAGGCACGTAGGAGCCTTGGTAACTAGCGGGGATGTGCAATCCCAGCTTCCTGGGCTTTGGAACTGGGAAGGTTCAGTAGAAGGTTGAAGTGAGTGAGAAGATTGTGATTCGGGGGCTTTAAAAGGATCCCGTGGCCAGGGGCAGGGCTAAGGCCCAGCATTTCCCAGGGATTGGAATTTAGTGCGGAGCACACTGATCAAAGGCTGTTTCATCCCACATGAGCAGGAAACATACTACATTATGCGGAGGATGTAGCTCAAGAGAAGTAGGTGGAGAAGCATAAACGAAAAGCACCTTTCCTCTCCTCTGTAAGGTAAATAATCATAAAATGTAAGCATTTCTTCGCTTTGATAAACTCTCAGTTAAATGAGTTGACAGATTTGGTATCAAAGAAAATCGAGGAAACAAAAGTAGTTTCTATGAGTAATGTTAAATAGTAAGGTAAAAAATACAATAGATGAATACTCAGAATAATAGGGGATTATTTCACTCTCCCCACCCCCAACAGAGAGAGAGAGAGAGAGAGATAGAGAGAGAGAGAGCGCTTTGTAGAGAAAAACAAACCTTTGCACGTAATGTAAATACGCATCTATTAGGAATGCCTTAAGGGACCCTAATACTGGACTGACCTCAAATATACTTTCACTGTATACATTTCCTATGTGTAGATAATCTCTTTAAAGAAAACTGGCTTTGCATGTGGAAAATTGTATCGTTCCACAAATCAGCGCTGCTGGGCGATGTGGCCCCACACGCTGGTTTCTAAGCTGAGGATATCTCACAGCGCTGAGAGATGTGGGTTTTGCAGATGGTGGAGAGATCCGAGGGCCTCACTCTTCCCGTCCACCTCTCCTTCAACTCTTCTCCCCTCCTCAGGCCTGTTCCTCGTACTTTTCCTCAACTCTCTTTCCTCCCTCCGCCCCTCCTCCCCCCTCCTTCCCCTTTCCCTTCCCACCTCTCCCCCTCCCTCCATTCATCTCCCTCTCTCCACTCCTCCACCTACTCCTCCTCATTTCTCCCCTCAAAGCCCCCCTCCTCGACACCACTTATAATGGCACACAGGGCTCCCTCTGAGGTGGACGGCCCGGTACGTTTTCGTAGTCGGTCTAGCGTGAAATGATTCGGTGTAACCGGATTCTTGGGAAAGGACAGGTTACGTAAACATTTACTGATGTGGAGTAACTATACTATTTGTACTCTGATATGCAGGAAGGAAAGTGTTGATTAACACAGAAGAAAAAAAAAAGCGAAATTAGCTGATTGCATGCTCATAAGTGCAAGCTGTCATTGAACTGCTTTTAAAATAGACACAGCTGGGTGTTTGTGTTGAAAAATTTCTTGTGTTTTTGCTAATACTGAAATAAGCATGATTTTGTATACCAAACATTTTCAGATCATTAAAATTTGTAATCTGTGCTGGTTTTAAACACAAAGAAAAGAAACAGAATCATTTCGATGTAAAATTTGCTGATATTATATTAACTCAATCAGGTCTGTACAAATTGTGCATTGTGCCTCCTAAAATCTGTTTGATCAATTTAATACACAAAGTGCCAAACGTGGGTATTGTTTGTTAACATTGGGCATTTTATTCAAATCTGAGCTCAGCAGCAAACTGGAGGAGCATTTCTTGAATACAACACCAGCTTTGGCTGATGAATTTTTAATGTTTTAAGGTGTTTCTTAGGTCAAAGCTGAGTGTGCATTGTTTAGTAATCTTGTATAAG